CCATAGCCATACCAAAATGATTTGCAACCCGAATTTTAATTAAATTTGATACTTTTGTGTTATTTAAACCTGTTGCCGAAATAAATTTTGTTGGTTGCGCCAAAAAATGTTTTTGTTTTGATCTACACATTTTTGCTTTGTGGCCTATGGATTTGCATTTATTACATTTTATTCTAATAAAGCGACATTGAGATGGTATATGGTCACACTCACCGCATCTGTGGCATGGGTTACGTCTGCGTTGTCGTCTTGGCGTTCTTGTACGTTGTTGAACTTTGGCCTTGCGATCAGCATCCGAATAAAGAAGTGGTTCCACCATTGTAGGGCTGGTTGTAAGTTGTTTTATTGTATTGCTGTTAACGGCACTTATTTGTTGAAACATCATATCTATTTTAGGTTTCAGTTCTGACATAATTTTGTCTTCAGTTTCCTTCTTCTCTTTTCTAAATAGTGAGAGTTTGCTTCTACTGACCGCAAGCGCACTTCTGCCTCTTCGACTGTTTCCGGCCATTTACCTAGAGACATAAGTTTAACAAGTTCTGGTTTGCATTTATATTGCAGTTTCGTCAACTTGAATTGCTGTCCAACATCTTGGTCTTCAGACAAAGCGTTAACTCGGTTAATAAATTCTGCAACAGATTCTGTTTCTTGTTGTTTTAAATCTATAAAGTCCGAAAGTTTTTTGAAAGTTCTGTCCGTATGAAATTTGATACTTCTTCAGAAATTCGCATTTTAAATTTTCACGAGTGTTTGTTAAATCTTCCGGTAATCCATTAAACCATATTTGTGCGTTTTCTTCTAGAAATAGTGGAAAGGCATTACAAAATTTAGATTCATCGTAATATAACGAAACGAAGTTTTCAAATAATTTCCACCAACGACTTGGGTTTTCGGTAAAGTCACCTTTGAATTTAGCTAATAATTTAGTAGGGTCCATTTTGAAATCAGTTGTACAGATCTATATCTATATTAAAAGTTCATCATAGTTGTGATAGGAATATGTCCAATGGAAACGGAACACACATTTTTCTCTTCTTTCGTCGTTTCATTTCCTCGCTAAAATTTTGTCAATATCACTTATAACGAAATATTGTTAATATTAAAAGTACATTTTGTCACTCGCTTGGCTTTTGAGGTACACTTCTGAGATCACGGGACTTAATCCACCACATATGACCAGGTTGTTAGTCACCTCTGTCATATTAATTAGTTTCGGGTGAAACTAGCGGTAGCTCAGATAAAGTCCAAGTCGCTGGAAAGTTTTCATATTTATTTAGCATCCATATAATTCAAACAATAAAACATAACTGAATAACAACATAAAAACAAATCTAAAATACAAATTCAAAAGACTGATTGACATGCGGAATATCAACCAATCAAATATCTTTTCATTAAATAATATTAATTCGCGTTTTGCCGAAAGCGGGGATTACGGATTAAAAACATGCTTCGTATAAGTTTGTCAAGAATGGCTTTCGGCAGTTATCACTTAGTGTCAAATTATCTATGTTCTTTGTTACAGAACCTTTTATCTTAAAGACGGGTATAAATCTTTGATAATTAATCTGAATGAAAGGATTATAGTTAAGTGTAAAATACAAGTAACTTTTGAATAGCGTAAAATACAATAAACTAATAAATTATTAAAACGCAATGAGGACTCGGAATAATAATAAAAAGCTAACATTTATAAAAATATACAAAATCCTAAATGTGAACTTTGAACGAACAATTGTCGGGTCATACCAGGCTTAAAATTGTGTATGCCAGACGCGCGTTTCTTCTACAAAAGACTCATTACTGACGCTAATAAAAAAGAATAAAACGGTCAAATAAGAACAAAGTTAAAGCATTAGAAAACCACAATTACGAAAGGTGTTGCCAAATACAGCTAAGTTACTCTATTCCTTGGGTAGAAAATCCTTAGTATTTCGAAAAAATCAAAGTTACACATTAAAAATACATTATTATGAGAAGCTTTGCAAATTCAATATACTAAAATAAAATATCACCTTATACTGGACAACAATGTACAATAGAGACCACCAAATACCATAATGGTCGTATAACATGCCAAGGCGTACATTTAAATAATGAAGAGGTAGAAAACAGACATTAACATGCATGTCCAAAATGATTAACGTCGAAAAGACAAACAACAGTAAACAAAACACTACACGGACGACTGAGCATCTTTAACATAAACCGGGTGTGATCTCAGGTTTACCATTAGTGTTCGCAGATCCTTATCCAGATTTTTTTTTATTGGTGTTTCCGTCTTTGGGTATAAGTCTTGTTGATATACAACCAATATCTCTTTTTATTCACATTAATAAAGAGAAGGTGATGATGCTGTTACATTGTAATCAAAAAGCCTTCTTGTGCTTCACACAGTCATATTTTTGACCTGGTAATATGCTGGAAATCGTATTTCTCGAAGACAGTCAAATCTACTACAAATTTGGAAAAGTAAGTTAAATTTTACTGAGGAAATTTGCTTACCGCTTAATGCATCAATAATTTGTTGTTTGTTAATGTTTCTTATTGAATTATTTGTTTTTGATGAAAGGAAAGTAATCATTTAAAATTTCTAGTTAATAATTAGAAATACATTTAACGTATGGGTTATAAGTTTATCAAGTTATTCTAAGAACTATAAGAAAGGAATGGAAACAAACATACTGTTTCGATTTTACTAACCGTCCATTACTCTTTTCCCTAGTTAATCCTTTAATTTAGAAACCTAAACCAAATCCCATCAAAAAAACTTTATTTCATTCGAGTGTCACTGATGAGTCTTTTGTAGATGAAACGCCGTCTTGCGTACAAAATTATTAGCCTGGTATCTTTAACAAGTCTTTTAAAAACACTGAGTCGAGTTGAGGTTTCCTCATCGAGGGTATCACCATCCAGGTAGTCAAAACTTCTGTGTTGTCATGAATTATCATTGATATGATCATAGTAGTAATACATTAACTGTTTACAACACTTCCCATATTTCGAAATAATAAGGATGTTCTACCCCATAAATAGACCAGTAGTATTTGGCAAAACCTTTCGGATTTTTATGCCCCTAATGCTCTTTAATTTCGTAATATATTTGGTCTTCTATCTTTTTTTTTATTCCAGCGGAAATGATGAGTCTTTTGTACACGGAATGCGCGTCTGTCGTACAAATTTATTAGCCTGGTATCTTTGATGACCTTTTTTTAGAAAGGGAGAAACATAAAAAGACATACATATTCGACTTATCATAAATAGTTAATTACATTAATATTAATAATAATTATTGACTTCTTTCGACCCTTTTGTCCCATTTATTTTAAAATGGCATTGATCAAATTGAAAGGAAAACCCTTTTTGTCACAAACCTTAAACTGTAAAAATATACACTTCTAAGGGTGTTTATGGCCAAGCTTGGAAGTAACATTAAGTATATGATGTATTTTCTACTGTAGACTTTCATGAAACTTTATCTAAACAGTGCTTATACGTTATTATAGTATGTTAAGTATGTGTTTACCTTTATTTTCTTCAAGTAGTAGCAAGACCAGCTATCGTTGGTTGATGGACATGCAATGTCCGATAAGAGACCTTATCTTTTACAGAAATCAAAATGAACAAACAAAAAAGTGTCTTTCAGGAGAACCTAATATCATAATTTCAAAACTGTCCAAATCGTTACAATTTGCACAAAAAAAAAACACCACTGACGATCATAAAATTACCTTGCAAGGAAAATTTCCAAACAGACCTTTAAGGCAGTAGCAGTTCACATATGTAACTTTTAATTTAGTTGACAGATCTTATTTTGCTACTTTTGGCTGTTCGATGCCATATCTAGCTGACATTTATTTTCACCAGTTGAAGTATGGGCACCTGACTATGGTTGGAGAGTGTATATTTCTATCTAGATATATTTTAGTTATTTGCATTATAAGATATTTATCGTATTTCCCACTACATGTACATATCTATTTGGATAATACTCATTCATCGTAGGTGTGATACCCATAGAGATATACCATTCTGATTTGGTCATGATTGGATACATACATTGTGAAATATGTTTTCTCTTGTGTAATTGAGGTTGAACCATGAGAAAAATCAAACAAATCAATTGAACATAAAACAAATAAAAACAAAAACAAAAACAAAAGCAACAAACGAAATGAAAAGTAAAAGAAAATAAAAACAATTATGTCAAAGATACATGATTTATTAGTTTTCATTGGCTTTGAACAAGCTTTCAGTGACAGCGATTACTCTCAGATCTCTACTTTGTGTCTTTTGTGTGTTTTTGTAAAGATCGTTTGTATTTTTTAAGTCTGAGTTAAGCCCTTTTCAAAGGATTTTTACAGTTTGTTCTTATGTTGTACTGTTACACCACTTTCCCATTTCGGAGAATTTTATAGATTACTATCTGGTTTTGGGTTTTGCTCATTGTTGAAGGCCGTACGTTGATCTATAGTGGTTAACGTTTGGTCTCTGATGGAGAGTTCTATCATTGGCAATCGTACCACACCTTTTTATTTTTATACAAAAACCGAAAAAATAAATTAACAAAAACAAACATATAAGACTTGAATCATTACAATGTTGTCTTTTCTCTAGGTCGCTTTGATAAGATTTCTTGTCCATGTTTATATAAAAATAATTGGGTTTCCCCGTTTGTGTTCAATCGTTCTCAATAAATATAAAGAGAAGGCATATTGGGTAATTGACACGAATGACATATTAGTTTGTATAATTTTAGGTCGGAACATATGTTTCATATTGGTTCACAATCGGTCGATAAAATTTGCAAGTCTCAGCAGTAATTTTTTTTTTTATTTCAGTTTTTTAACTAAGAGCTCCGATGACTATGTCGTCATATTAGCTTTTAAAAACATACAAATAGTGTTTTTCAGATTATCATTTAATTCACAATATTGTGCTCTTCGTTGTTTATAATACGTACATGTATCTGTTATAATAGAAAAATAAATACAACTTACAAAATATAAGAACTACTACTACCATTGCTGCATTTTTCTTCCAGGGTACTAAACATAATTTAGAAAAGGATACGTAAAAGCTAGATTTCTTTTGTCGACGAAAAATCGTAAGTCTGTCATACTATATAATAATAATATTCAACAAATAGAAACATGATTTTATTTTTCGTTTGGAAATATTCGGTATCAGAACAAATTCACGTTGACCTGATGGAACTTATGTGAATTTGCTTTCAATCATGTGTGACACAGTCCGCTAAGTAACAAATACGATGTATTACAATAATATTCGTCCTTCACAACAAGTATTCCGAATGATGTCTTGGTTGTATCTTCGTTCTTGATTTAATAATTTTTTACAACAAGCAACCGTAAATATAGAAATTAAACGAAAGTTCTTATCATAAAATGTAATGTCTTTCTGACAATATACTTATTGTTTTCGGTCATTTGCACGAAAAGAAACCCGCCATAACAGATGCAAATATTGACATGCTCTACAATTTCGATAAAAACTTAATTTTATTTTTGCTTTATATGTTTATTTTGGAACATTTCCGTGCACTTTTTTAAAGATGATACTTATCTATGATATTCAATCAATTGTAATTTTTTACTTTTCAAGTTTATGTTAATATATATGTTTACACACAACTACGAATGAATACAATTAAGTTTGTACAGTTTAAAATTTGAATGCATTTACCTACCTAGAAAAAAAACATTGTCTTCCAATGGAATTATATCTATGTTAACAGGTCTTTCACTACTGGTGTCTCTGTAATATATCAAAATAAAAAAAAAACATGTTATATAAATGAAAAACTTAAAATTGGATCAATACTGAGTAAGTGGACAAGGCTAATAGCAGTAATCATGGTAATAGGCGATACATGCATTACCTGCAATGAAAATCAAGACTCAATTTAAAGTTCAATGAATTGAAGTTCTACCGATTATGGATATATCCGACTACTTTTCTTAAATCTACGAATTAAAGACCGGGAAAACAACACTCGCGAGTTGTGCTGGTTAACCGATTCGTGACCTAATACCTTGTATAAATTCGATTTTTATCGTTCGTCCTCACGATCACGTTGTGCCAGTTTAAAATAAGCAACATATCCGTGTTCCTAATGTTGTACAGACGTTGTCTTTTTACGAATCAAATCTGAACTCAATCTTTCGATCTGACTTTAGGTTTTGAATGATGAATACTTGACACGTGTAAAGGGCAGAAAACACAAATCTTTCACACTATTGCATGAGGAGGAAAACTTAGATTGTATGTACTCTAATAGATCTTTGAGATGTTTAGTAGCCACCTCTAATTCACCCTATAACATGCGCAAATAGTTTCCCAGTATCTCTATAGGCCAAAAAGAAGATAGTAATTTGGACAGAGGTTTTGTGAAGTTCTGTATTTGTAAAGCATAACAATATATCGTTGCTTAACGCTTTTATGTCTGTTTGGGTTGCTCACCAAATTTTGTCAATATAACGGAACTATCTATCTCTGTCATACAAGACGAACATTGAGCTAGCTATAAACCAGGTTTAACCTGCCATTTTCTTTGGAAAATGCTTGTTCCAAGTCAGGAATATGACATTTTTTTCCATTCCGTTTGAAATATTAGTACTAGGTCCCCACCCACGGAATATATTACTTATAATAAGCTGTATTTGGCAGAACTTTTCGGAATTTTGGTACCTCATTGCTTTTCAACTTCGTATTTTATTTGATTCGAGCGTCATTGATGAGTCTTTTGTAGATGAAAAGCGCGTCTGGCGTACAAAATGTTAAGCCTGGTATGTACGATGAGTTTATATACTTATTTCTTTCATAGTTTTAGAATTTGGTTTTGAAGTTTAGCTGTCCTTTTTTTTTAAATAAGTGTATTCAAGCTATTCCTGATATATAATTCATAAGCAGCCCAGGTTGTATACTTAGGGACCCCTGTATAAAAAAAAGCCTCACTTGACCAGGAAAAAAATCAAATGAGTTTAAACTCCAAAAGTTTTACATATTTAAATAGCCAGTACAAAAGATTGGCTGTACTCGTAGAATTGTTATCAACAACAGGACATTATATCCGAATTTTGACGGTTCATGTATACTCATTGATTCTTTGAATAAACTTATTCTTAAAAGATATCAATTTAACACCGTAGTAAGATCTTTGCACATTTCCGTTATCTGTAAAAACATTAATTTTGTTTTTTTTAATACATTGAAACACAATTTAACTATTATATTGCTGTATATTAAGGTAAACATTTGGTCCTTTATCCTGTCGTGTATTTATCTTTGGGCTTTAAACAATGTTATGCCTTTTTCGTACAGCTTGGGATGTTTTTACTATATATCCGTTGGATACGTACTGATTGATACTTCAATCTGGGGGAACATGATTTATGTATTAGTTATTTTTTCCTAGAACTACCTCTCGGCAACTGCGAGTACTCTTAGATCGGTACTTCGAGTCTTTTGTCTTTATGTAAGTTGTGTGAATTTATTGTGCATCGAGCCGATCCGATGGATCAAGCAATTTCCATCTGATTTTTACACTGTGTTTTTTTGTTGTGATGTTACATTGTCCCAGGTAAGGGTATATTTTAGCGCTAAAATACATATGTAACCCCGCCAAATTCTATACGTGGCTGTCCTAAGTCAGGTGCCTGTAATTCAGAGGTTGCTGTCTATCATAATTTTTTCCGTTTATTGTTTTGTCATGAATTATTATATGCCGCTGGTTTTTTCAGTTGAATTGTTTCACAATTTGTCATGTCATAGTCTTTTATAGCCGGCTATACGAGAAGGTTTGTACATTGTTGATGGCCGAACAGTGACATGTAGTTGCTTAAATCCGCTTCATTTTGGACTTTGTTGGATACTTGTCTAATTGGCAATCATACCACATCTCCATAGTTCATTTATGCATAAGGTAAAATTTGGTATTTAGTTTGTATTTTGTTACATGTACCTATTATTACTTTATTTTGTAAGCTAAGTGCTTTTTATGGGCTGTTTTGTAATGTATATTTTTTTAAAGAAGTTTGTTAATCAACTGATCGAGATCAAAAAGGGGAAAGGTTTAGATCAAAGAAAAAAATCGTAATGGGTTGCGCGGAAACCTTTGTCTCGCCTACGATTGCTGCTGTCAGCGTAAAAGTGTAATGTTGACTTAAAAAATGAGTCCATTTATCAGTAAAATGCAGAATTTAAAAAAACAATCAAACTTTTTCTTTAGATGCTATTTCTTGGTCTTGAAGATTAGCTTCTGTCCATGTTTCATAACAATCCATGAAGGTTTACAAACTTATCATGTCAAAAAAATTTAATCCCAAACTGTCTGTAAATGTTAACTGTAAATAAAGTAAGTCCATTTATCAGAAAAATACTGAAAATGAAAATATATTTTCAAAATTTTGCATCAGAAATTATCTCTTAATCATAAAAAAGTTTCATAAAATTCTATGAAGGTTTGACAAAGTATTTGATGTGTAACAAACTTTAACCTCAGACTCTATCTACTTGTTAACAGTTAAAAAAAACTAAGTAAATTTATCATTAAAATATGGAAAAATGAAAATAAATATTTTTAAAATTTTGCTCTGGATACTGTATTTTGGTCATAAACAAGCTTCTGTCCAAATTTCATAAAATTCCATGAAGGTTTGACAAAGTTATTGATGACAGAAAAACTTTAACCTCAGACTGAATCTGAATGATAACTGTAAAAATAACTAAGTCCATTTAACAGTAAAATACGGAAAAAATGAAAATAAATATTTTCAAAATTTTGCTCTGGATACTGTATTTTGGTCATAAACAAGCTTCTGTCTAAGTTTCACAAAGTTCCTGGAAGGTTTGACAAAGTTATTGATGACTAAAAACGCTATGTCTCGCTTTCGCGAAATAAATTTCGCAGGCTCTAAAAGAACTTCCTTGACCCCACTACTAATAATGTGCCTGCTCCATGTCATGAGCCTCGTCTGTAGTTGTCTGATGTCATATCTTAATGTTTTTCGTTTTTTGGGCGAGTTTTGATTTATTGGTAGAACTTTGTTTGGTTAATGTTAAACCTTTTACAGTTTTAATAGAATCAGGAGTTTGACATATAGCATGTATAGTGTGGACACCTGTAAATTGTTGCAGACTATATAGTGCCCTTTAAGGTAGCTGGGGTGTCTTCCTCCATCTTGGATTCGAAATAGCAGATAACAATCGGTCTAGATCTTTAATGAAATGTGCAAATTTCGAGAGTTGTATGTAATTCATGTGTAAGAATTTATGTTAATATAGAAAATTATTTGTTTTATCATATTTTACGGTTGTATTTTACAAAAAACAGAATATCTGTGTTTGATTCATTTTATCTCAACTTTGCCACAAAAGGGGAGATAACTCAGATAAAGTAACTTTTATAATAGAATGTGTTGTGAATTTACCTATTTTATAATGTAGCAAGAAAACGAGTCCGGTGCCCCATTTTTTTCTTTTTCTTATCTGAAAGCATATTATTAGAGCTATCTTCTCATATTCTATCTTAAAATTCTATGGTGTAGTTTTCTTTTTATCACACAAAATTGGGCTTTCCATGCATAATCTATACAAAATCTGACAATTTTGCACAACCTGTAGCGTGAAAAAAAAGCCCGGTGACCCATACTTTTTATGTTATTTTTGAAAAAGCATGATATTGTTACGGTTTTCCTGGGTAGGGGGTAGTGTTACGGTTTAGGGGGTAAGCTGTAGGTTTGTACATACGACTTTTTCGGGCTACTCAGTAAACACTCACTTCTACTTTCACGTTCGTCGTTTACTGTTAGCCAACGCGTATATAAAGACATTTGATGAACATTGCGTATACTTTTATTCTTATTGTATGTAAATATTGTTTGTAAGGTCTCTGGGAATAATGATATAGAGTTCGCCTTCTGTTTGACCAGGGGGTCCCATGACTGAACGACGGTTCCCAACTTCTGTTTATCCTTATTTCACACGTTCCCGCTTTATTACCTTTCTATTTTATTTCCGTAAGGCCTCAGTATTGTAACCGGGGCCCATACATGGTACGAGTAAGCTTAGTTTGTTCATTTTCCGACTTTACAGAATTTCAACATTCGCAATCGCCGCCATTTGCATCAGCAAGTTTATTGACGTCAGTGACCTAATGACCCGAGATCAGCATCCAATCAGCATTACATTATTTGCCCACATTCACCATAGGGGCAAGAGACTTTGGTGGGACAGATGTATAAAAGCGAGTGCACATCAGTCTTCAAGGAGACTGCGGTCCGCTACCAGGGTGTTCACTCCTGATACCAATGGAATTACCAGAGCAAACCAAATACGCTGCAGTCGATGCAACCCGTAAATACACCGTACCTTTGATATTGTATGCATCCCAGTTGGACAATGTTGGATAAATGGACCGAACCATGATTGACCCAGATGTTTTACTACGTTTACTACGATGTTGACAAACGATTAACGTACCAAAAAGGGGGGTCTTTGTATATTTTATAACTAAAGTGCTTTGGTGGGTTTTTTTTATGTGATTTATACTTGTAAGAGTATTGAATGTGTTATATAGAATAAATTGTAAAGCTTAAATAAATCTTGTTATCTGTTGTACATGTAATAAGTAAGTCAATGTAATGGGTTTCTGAGCTTCCATATTTAAACCAGTGCCTTAGCTGTTTTTTCTGCTAGGCTACCATTGCCTTGATCATTTTGCCAGATACGCTACCAGTGATAAATAGTTTGCAACTCAATACCAGGGTTGACAGATCTATATTAGAATTTACCAATAATATAGTCACCAGTGTGTTAACCTGCATAAATACTTTTACTCATGGGACACACCCACCCGTACCGTAACAATATAAACTACATTTTGACAAATTATTCAAAAATTCTATGGATTTTAATTTAGACCCCCTATCTACCTTAAATAATTTTTGGGGTTATTTTAGTCGTTGAATTGATGGCTCAGTGGCGTTTATCCCACATCTCTCTTCATTCCTGGAAATAGATGACAATTCCTATAGTTTATTTAAGCTCTTTTACTAACAAAACGCTTTAGTTGGAACACTTTTTCTTCTGGAATTGCAACATATTTGTCACACACGGCTTATCCTACATTGAAACATTTAATATAATAAAATTGTATTTCAAGTTAATGAATTAAGTTCACGGCATTTCAGTCCTTTAGCTTACACTTTAAGAGCTTATAATGTGGCCACCATTATTGTATAAAAATTTGGCAGTTGCACTGGCGCACTTAGAAGATTGACACTTGGAGTCATCAATACTGAGCTATTACAGCACCTGTATGTACTTAAAATAATTTATTCGCCATAAATGGGGTTAAGGTATAAATTATGATTGGAACATAGGGATTATTAAGTAGGAAGGTGTTTTAGATTTGACTGTTTTATGATGAAGGATATTGCCTAAATTGATAGCGTATAATATGACGACCATTGGTGCACTAACACTTTTGATATTTTGACTTTAAAAAACTTTTGGTCTCAAGCTGATATGATGGAAATTCCAGACACACATGATGTACGTTGTTACTACCACAAGATCGATACCGCTGTTGAAAATATTGAACTTTTTTACTACCATTGCGTCGGTACTGTTCAAAATAGTATGCATTGTTGAACAAGAGTGCACACGCTGAAATGTCTCGCCTGTTTAACTCACCATTGATTTTATGTTGAAAGTCTTAGAGATAAAGGTTTTACTACACGTATAATAACTGTCACACAGACATGTACACCTTACAATTATTCCATACACGAAATATAGTTGACCCATTGCTTATGGTATTTGAAAAACAGACCAAAACACAAAAACTTAACATTGACCAATGAACCATGAAAATGAGGTCAAGGTCAGATGACACCAGCTAGACAGACATGTACACCTTACAATCATTCCATAAACCAAATATAGTTGACCTATTGATTATAGTACTTGAAAAACAGACCAAAATACAAAAACTTAACATTGACCAATGATCAATGAAAATGAAGTCAGGGTCAGATGACACCAGCTAGACAGACATGTACACCTTATAATCATTCAATACACCAAACATAGTTGACCTATTGCTTACAGTACTTGAAAAACATAAAAAAAAAATTAACAATGATCAATGAACCATGAAAATGAGGTCAAGGTCAGATGAAACCTGCCAGTCTGACATGTACCCCTTACAATCATTCCATACACCACATATAGTTGACCTGCTGCTTGTAGTATCTGAGAAACGGACTTAATCACGTAACTTTAACCTTGATCACTGATCCATGAATTGAGGTCGAGGTCAGGTAAACCCTGTCTGACGGACATGTAGACATTGCAAGGAACCCATATACCAAATATAGTTATCCTATTACTCATAATAAGTGAGAAATTCACATGACAAAAAAATTGTAATTTTTTTTAAGCAATCACTGAACCATGAAAATGAGGTCAAGGACAATGGGCATATGACAGACGGAAACTTCGTAACATAAGGTATCTGCATACAAGGTATGAAGCATCCAGGTCTTCTACCTTCTGAAATATAAAGCTTTATACAAATAGTTTACGCCGCCGGATAGAAATACCTATGTCTCTCGTCGCAGGCGAGACAAAAATGAGTTTGCAACTCTTCAGTTTTGGTTCATTTAGTTGTTACCTCCCCAAATTAGTTTGCTGTTATTTGAGTGTTTATAGTTTACACGTTCTGTGCCCGACACGAACGCATCATCCCAGTGGTTGTCTATTAAGGTACAATTTACTTTCGGCGGCGTCTACTGCGCTTTTCTTGATTTGATTTTCGTCAAGATTGCTCACATTTTAAAATACAAAAATAAAATTGTACGAGATTGTCCAATGAAAAGTCGTAATAAAATTAAGATAAAGGTATCGACTAATAAATATAAATCTACACTTAACAAAACAATTAAAAGATAAACCAAAAAAATCCATAGATATAAACTGAAAAAAAAATCTCAGAAGGAAAACAATATAGCAGTAATAATAACCAATTGTAAACATATTTACATAAAAAAGAGACTTGTAGACAATAATATCATTACAAGTTGTTGCAGTTAATAAATTTAGTCCAAAGTAAAATAAAATCTGAAGATAACATGGATAATTTCAACCTTAACTGACTGCTTATTAATTTATTATTAGGATTTTGAGCAACATCAGTATTCTGAAATAAGACATTCATGTCGTGACTTACTTGTCATCTGTTATTGGTCGACATTGCGTAACCACAGTACGGTTCATTTTATCAATGCAGTCGTAATCTATAATAAAAAAGTACTGTTAGTTTAATAGATATTTTACTCGTGTTTTGACAACTTTTGTTGAATTAATATAGATAATATAATAGACATGTTAGATAAATGTTTACAATTGACAATTGAGAGTCGAGAGTCTAGAGTTAAGACATTTAAATAAGGGATCATCTCAAAAGTATGAATTTAATTATTAAATTACTCGGTACATAAATGGCTTTAATAACATTGCTACTAATATAAATGTAAAATAATTGTTTTACGAAATTGTTGTATAGCAAACAACTGGATATTATATAAGTCCTTCCATATTTTTCTAAATCAAACACGATAAACACCCTGGTAGTAGTAAATCAAACATGCTTTTTGGTTGATTGCTTGGTTGATAAACTGCTTGTATAACATCAATTGACAAATTCTTCATATTGATGGGTTGGTTGGTCGTTACGTGAACTGATTGATTGTTTGATTGGCTGATTGATAGGTGGTGTGATTTAATGATTGACAGTTTGCATAACTTAAAGAGACGCATATTTCATATTGAGTATTAGATTGATTGATTGTTTGTTTGACGAACAGTAACGAATATTTAACGAACATTCTGTGTTTAATTCCCCCATCCCTCCTACAAAAATAAGTAAAAGAAAAAAAGAAAATACGAGCGAATTTGCAGATACACAGAGATATGTAAAACAACAAAACAAAAGTCAAGATCGAAGTCCGATTTTAATTACAATGAAAACAAAATGCATACATAACAAGTACATAAAACATAAATTCCGAGAATCCCTAGACAAAAAAGGAAATTCATAAAGGGAGATTCAAGGATCTTTTTTGAGGGGACGTTAATCTTTGCATGTTCCCATCGAAATGATATAGGAAAATAAAAGGATATTTTTTTCGAAACGGGAGAAGAAGAGGAGTGTTAAATCCTGTATTTTACAGGCCTAGAAATATTATGACTTTAATACAAATAGACATGTTGCACTTATACGGAAACGTGTAATTTAATGGGATCTAGGCCCTACCTTTTTGTTCCGCCTGTTCTTAGGAACCAGAACCTGTGTATGTTTTAATTGAGGAACTTGTTCCCGGTCTGCTCCTTGATTTGGAGCACTGTGATAATTTGTGTAAATTGTGCATCTTCATTTGGATCTATTTAAAAAGAGTATTTTTCATAAATCTGATATTTTTGGACTTTCACTGACAAACTGCTCGGTCATAAATTGTCATTATATTGTTAAACTAAATATTATTTTATCGGAATTATTTAATTTGCAATATTTGTTCGTCAAAATAATTTTATTAACATGTAACGATTTTTCTTTATAAAGCTTTTTGAGTTATAAGTAACAATTAAGTGTCAGTATATTTTCACAAAGACGGAAATTTGTTTCAAGATAATACTTTTGATAAATAAAAGATAAAGTTACGTCGGGGGCATAAAAAGCAAAATATTGGTAACAAGAGGCTGTCAGAGAGACAGCAAACCGGATTTTCCTGCAGAGGTCGAACCCTGAACAGTCGAGCAAGTATGGCTACTACATTTAAGCTTAAAACAGCTCTGAATTTGGATTGTGATTGAATAATTGACACAGCAAAGGTTTGTGACACAAAATGAATGTGGTCAAAGAACTGAAATATTTGAAATTGGACATTTACCTATTATGGTCCAATATCCAAAATCTATGTACATACTAGAATCAGCATATCAAAGAACCCAAGAATTCAATTTCTGATGAAATCAGACAAAAGTTTAATTTATGACCCTTTGGACCTCAATGTGGACTAATTTAATAAAGGAGCCCACAATCCAAAATCTCTCAATGCATGGTTAGATTCAGCATTTCAAAGAACCCCATGAATTTAATTTTTGTTGAATCAAACAAAGTTTAATTTTGGACCCTGATTTGGACCAACTTGAAAACTGGGCCCAAAAATCTAATATTTAAATACAGGTTTAGATTCAGCATTTGAAAGAACCCTATATATATTTAATTTATGTTGAAATGAAACACAGGTTAATTTTATCCATTATTTTCTGTGCAAAGGGAAAAAAATCAAACTGGATAAATAATTCTCTAAAATAAGATATGATGCAATTTTTCAAATTATAATCAATAATATAATAACACCAACCAGTGATGACTAAGTTCTCTAAAATTAGATATGATTTAACACTCAAATATTGTTAGAATCAGCATATCAAAGAACCAAAGAATTCAATTTTTGATGAAATTAAACAAAAGTTTAATTTAGGACCCTTTGGACCTCAATGTGGTATTATCTTATTAATAATGAAAAGAAATACCGGTTTAGATTAAGCATTTCAAAGAACCCTACATATATTCAATTTATGTTGATATCAAACACAGTTTAATTTTGGACCCCAATTTGGACCAACTTGAAAACTGGGCCCAAAGTCAGAAATCTAAATATATGTTTATTAATAGACAATATAAGCTTAGTGTTTAAAGCAGTTCACTTCATCAAAAAAAAAATTAAAGCATTCAGAAAATTACTTTTTACAGAATAATAAACAAACTTGTCACAAAATTCTTTAAACAATTTACCAAAGAAAAGAAGAAAAAAATCTAAAATTTTATTTATCATTAATACAATGTCTTTTCAAAATCTATGTAACTTATCAGTAACAAGAAATAATTGTAACAGGATGCTGTTACGAAGTCTCCCAAACAAAGCTCCAATAATTCATCATTCCCATGGTCGCCTGACATTGGGCAAAGTCCAGTACAAATTGGTTTGTGATATGCATAAGTGACGCCTATGGATTGACCCTGTATGTCATTCAAATCTTCTTGAAATGACAAACAGGAATATATATGGTTTAGGGGTGGAGATCTCGACCGTTTACAAGTTCTCAAAGGGGGGGGGGTGTGATCCCCAGTGGACTCGCCCTTTATTTCATATGATTTGTTTTTTTGTCCCATACAAGAATATATATGGTTTAGGGGTGGGGATCTCGACCGTTTACAAACTCTTAAACAGGAGGGGGTGGGGTGACCCCAGGGGACTCGCCTTTTATTTCATTTGATTTGTTTTATTGTCCCATACAAGAATATATATGGTTTCGGGGTGGTGATCTTGACCGTTTACAAGTTCTTAAACAGGAGGGGGTGGGGGTGACCCCAGGGGACTCACCTTTTATTTCATTTGATTTGTTTTATTGTCCCATACAAGAATATATATGATTTCTGGGTGGGGATCTTGACCGTTTACAAGTTATCAAAAAGAAGGGGGGTTGGGGTTACCCCCATGGACTTCCCCTATATTTCATTTGATTTGTTTTATTGTCCCATACAAGAATATATATGGTTTAGGGGTGGGGATCTCGACCGTTTACAAGTTCTTTAACAGGAGGGGGTGGGTGTGACCCCAGGGGACTCGCCTTTTATTTCATTTGATTTGTTTTATTGTCCCATACAAGAATATATATGGTTTCGGGGTGGGGATCTTGACCGTTTACAAGTTTTCAAAAAGAAGGGGGGTGGGGGTGACCCCTGGACTTCTCCTATATTTCATTTGATTTGTTTTATTGTCCCATACAAGAATATATATGGTTTCGGGGTGGGGATCTCGACCGTTTACAAGTTCTCAAACAGGAGGGGATGGGGATGACCCCAGGGGACTCGCCTTTTATTTAATTTGATTTGTTTTATTGTCCCATACAAGAATATATATGGTTTCAAGGTTGGGATCTTGACCGTTTACAAGTTTTCAAAAAAGAAGGGGGGGTGGATGTAAACCCGGGGACTCCCCCCAATATTTCATTTGATTTGTTTTATTGTCCCATACAAGAATATATATATGGTTTCGGGGTGTGGATCTTGACCGTTTACAAGTTTTCAAAAAGAAGGGGGGTGGGTTGACCCCCTGGACTTCCCCTATATTTCATTTGATTTGTTTTATTGTCCCATACAAGAATATATATGGTTTCGGGGTGGGGATCTTGACCGTTTACAAGTTCTGAAACAGGAAGGGGTGGGGGTGACCCCAGGGGACTTGCCTTTTATTTCATTTGATTTTTTTTATTTTCCCATACAAGAATATATATGGTTTCAGGGTGGGGATCTTAACCGTTTACAAGTTTTCAAAAAGAAAGGGGGTGCGGGTGAACCCAGGGACTCCCCCAATATTTCATTTGATTTGTTTTATTGTCCCATACAAGAATATATATGGTTTAGGGGTGGGGATCTCGACCGTTTTCAAGATAAAAGCACATTCTCAAATTGAAGGGGGGTGGGGGTAAGAATATTTATGGTTTAGGGAGACTTAATTATCTACAAAATGTCTAATAATGAACAGTAAATTTCATTTATACAGTCCTACTAGTAAATTTCAAACTTTATATATACAGTCCTACAGATCTTATCAGGAAACAGGAAATTTTCAAATAAATCTGTCACTCCAATGATTATCATATGCTAAGATATTTCCCAGATCTAATTAATAATGAAAATCATAATTGTGAACAGAACTATGGTTTAACATAGTACTCTTACATTACATATATAATAATTAATAATGTAATTAACTTCAAAATGTCTAATAATATAGCTTATAATCATCATCACTTAGGAAAAAGAAAATTTTCAAATAAATCTGTCACTCCAATTTTTATTGTGAGATAAGACATTTACCATACGCTTAGTCATAATATGATAACAAGAGAAAATATTTAAAAATACCACTTTTGGATGTTAAAAATGGCAATAACTCTAAAAGGAGAAATACTAAAATCGTGAAAATTGAACTTGACCTTCACTTAGTCACAAGAAAAAACATATCTAAATTTGAAAAAAAATCATCACAGCGTTTTCATGTTATTGAAGAGACACTGTTTGGCAGCCGCCCGTCCGCAAGACAGCCCGCCCGCCCGCTCGCCCGCCCGCCCGCCGTACATCCCCAAATCAATAACCGATATTTCCTTCGAAAATCCGGTTAAAAACTTAAAGTTTACACACATTACGCACAGATAAATTTGCTCT